TAGATGGAACGTGACTCACTAGCTATAGGTGAGCTAGGAACCAATGTTATAACAAGATGAATGGATGAAGCTTAAGACCGACAAGAAACCGATAGAGTTCTAATCCAAAAACTAAAATGAAAGCAATAGGTGATTCAAAAGGCGTTGGAAAGCTAAGAGATAGAGGAATAATGTCCAATTGGTTTCTGGCCCCAAAAATATATGTATCTCATCCAGAATTAGACACATTCTGACTAATATTCTTGCATCTGTTGAGACTGTTCAGCTTTCCTCTTGCACCTAAACACAAAGATAAACTTTATTCAATCATAACATGTAAATATATGCATGGGATAATTAAGAGTTAGTTTGATTAATGAACTAATTTTATTCAATGAACTAGATGCTGAATGAAGTAGCTTACTAAATGATCTAAATATGCAATTGAACTACTTCCCTAAATGAACTAGATGATTTAAATGCAATGCCTGCTTAAATGAACAACGTACTTCTAAAATGAAGCAATAGGTGATTCAAAAAGGCGTTGGAAAGCTAAGAGATAGAGGAATAATGTCCAATTTGGTTTCTGGCCCCAAAAATATGTATCTCTTCCAAATTAGAATACATTCTGACTAATATTCTTGCATCTGTTGAGACTGTTCAGCTTTCCTCTTGCACCTAAACACAAAGATAAACTTTATTCAATCATAACATAAATATATGCATGGGATAATTAAGAGTTAGTTTGATTAATGAACTAACTTTATTCAATGAACTAGATGCATGAATGAAGTAGCTTACTAAATGATCTAAATATGCATAATGAACTACTTCCCTAAATACTAGATGATTTAAATGCAATGCCTGCTTAAATGAACAACGTACTTATTAAATGCAATAAAGTCATGCAAATTCATTCGATGAATGATATCATATGATAAGCATATCCTAAGAGGTAAATAAAACATATGATAAAATATAGTGCAAATAAGTAGGTATAGGATGAGTAATGTAAAACCACCTTTGAATCAGCCTTGGTGAACTTCAATGATTTAATTAGATCAGAAGAAAGTTAGGGCTGATTGGGATCACATCAGATGTATTTAAAACATATTTAAGTACCTTAGCTTAATAAAAAAAAGAATTTAAAAAATTATCAAATTAATTTTTGTATAAAAATTCACAATCAATTCATTCTACACACCTTTATATAACTTTTACTTTTATTCGATAAAATAGAATCTAATTGAAAAACAAATAAGATAAATTTATTTGTTTAGCATATAAACTAATAGTTTTGGTCTGTTTTAATATCTAAACTTATAATTTTTTCAAAATCATATGTAAAGTTTATTTTTTGTTTCATTTTAGTACCCACCGTTAAAAACTTTAGCTATTGTTTCTATCTCGTTCAAATTTTAACGTTAAATTTTGAAGAAAAAAAATTGAAAGTTAAGGTACTAAAACTGATAGTTTAGGTACTAAATGCATTAAGTTTTTAATGGCAAGGTACTAAAATGAAACAAAAAGTAAACTTTAAGTATAGTTCTGAAAAAAATGAAAGTCTAGGTACTAAAACGGATCAAAACTGATAGTTAAGGTACTAATGCATAATTTATCCCAAAACATAAAGAGAGGGCCAAAACTATTAGTTTTTGGTTGAATCGGGTTAATATTTTTCACATTAAATCCAAACTCGATGATTATCCTTCGAAAAACTTGATACAACTCGAGTTCAAATTTTCAAAAAAAAAAACTAATTCTATAGAGTTGAGTCAAATTAAAACTTATCATATTCAAATAAAAAATTCATCTCTAATCATATAGAAATAAGATTATCATAATTAAAATTACCATATCATCTCTTTGTTACTTTTCTAACGGAAAAAGATTGGTATTTTTGGTGTAACACTCAAAATTTGATTGAGATAGTTTGATATAATTTTTTCAAGGTAATCTGTAGTAATTATAAGATAATATATGTTCATAATTTTTAATTACTGAGGCTACTCGATGAATTTTAATTTGACCCAAATTTAAAATAACGCATTCGTTATCGAAGTGATTGAAAATAAACAACAATCTAATTACATGTAATTAATTCTTTTAATTACAGATCACATAAGCATTAGTAGAGCCATACTTATTGCAAGTTAATCATAAACATAAATGTTCAACTCCTAACAACATGCTTTATCCACTAAAACAAACAAGTTAATATAGAAGTCAATTCGATAAAGAAAAATAAAAGTTCGAGAGCCAAAAGAAACATAATAAAAGTTTAAGGGCTAAAGTAACTAAACCAATAAAGTTAGAGGGTCAAAATGATAATTCTACCTTAAAAAATACTAAAGTAATTTAGTTTAACTAACTATAAAAATGTATTAGAGATAATAAGTATATATAGGGATAGACATCGGTCGGGTTTTCGGTCAATCTAACGTGACTCGAAAATATAAGTCTTCCACCCAAAATTTGACCAGACTCGAGTTTAGGGGTGGCTTCATCCGATCCGAATTCAAATCGATTTTTGGAGATAAAACCTAAATCTGACCAGACATGTAATATTTAATAAAAATATAGATCTAATTGAAAAAAAATAATATATAAAGAGTTATTATTATAATTGTCCCTACATATATAAAGTAAATTTATATTATTTTTTAGGGTTTAGTCAGATATTTTTCATCTAAATTTGAACTCAACTTGACCCGAACATATTTTTTAGAAAAACTCGATCCAACCTAACCCAAACCTAAATTTTATTTAAAAAATTCAACTCGAATCATATCGGATTGAAACCCGTCTAGTTTGAGTCCAATGCCCACCCGATATATCAAGAGTTATTTATCTCTTTTATTAGAAAATGCATTCATTCTATCATTAGTTTTAATACTATATCTACCTTCAAATTGAAACCAAGTTCATAATAATTTCTAGAGATAAGGCACACTTTAACCCCTGAATTTATCCACACTTTCCAAAATGGTACTTAAACTTTATTTATGTCCATATTGATACTTTAATTTATCTACTTGTAATGTCTAAGAAAGGTACCGGTGTAGAAGCATATTTGCAAAATAAGCCTTTGTTTAATGAGTCTAGAGAAAGCTTTAAGTTTTGAGTAGAAAGCAAGCAATACAAAAGGAGCAACCAGAAAATAACTTTGAATATTTTGAGATGTGAAGGCAAGCACATATGCCAAATTTGCATGCCCTACGAAAACATTTGACAAATCATATTCGTGTAGTATAATTATACTATAGGGTAAAATACACAAATGGTCATCTCACTATAGAATGTTACTTTATTGAGTCCCTCGACTATTAAAAGTTACAAAATAGTCCCCCAACTATAGGATGTTGCTTTGTTGAGTCCCTCTACTATTAAAAGTTATAAAATAGTCACCCGGCCATTCATTATGTTCCATACTCGTCCCTTTTCGTTAAAAAAATGAACGACAATCTAAGTTGGACATTAATATGTTGTGTGAGATGATATGTTTAAGATTTCGGGATTAGTTTATATCTTAGACACCAGATTAACATCTAGCTTAGACTTTCATCAATTTTTAATAGAAAGTATGAATTAGAACATAATAAATAGTCTGGTGACAATTTTGTAACTTTTAATAGTTGGGACTAACAAAGCAAAAATCTTATAGTTAGAGGGTCATTTATAACTTTTGATAGTTGGGACTCAACAAAGTAATACCATATTTCCGAGGTACCATTTGTATATTTATCCTATATTTGTATTAATAAATTTAATCTAACTAAACTTAATCGATAACTTTTTCAAAAAAGATGTGAAGAATAAAATCTTGGGTAAACTATATCTGACCCAACTCTAGGCATTATATGGTTTCTACTATTAAACTTTTAATTTTGTCAATTATAACATTGAACTTTGATTTTTATTTTAATTATACCTCTGGGTCATTAAATCGTTAACAGTCGGATTAAAACGACGTTGTTTTGGTGAGATGTCTATGTTGGCAGTCGTCATTGTGCCGTTAACGATTCAACGATTTAGTAGTATAATTGAAACGAAAATAAAAGTTTAGTCTCCTAATTGATAAAACTGAAAGTTCAGTGGTATGAACGATACAATGCGTAAAGTTCGATGGTATCTGATGTAGTTTACCCTAAAATCTTTAATGGACAAGCAAGCCACTTGTACCCTTCCATTTCCTTGGCATGTAAAGCTCTCCACTTCCCTTGCTTTTATATATGCTTCTTTTACCAGTCTTCTACTCTTTCATTGGAATTTTAACTTTGAACCAACTAGAACAGCTTTGGCATTGCTGAAAGTGATAACTGAGTTATGGGGAGCAAGATTTGCATGTTCCTTCTGCATTCAACAATGGCAGTCACCATGTTCATATATTGTGGTAACCTCGATTTTGCTGCGATATCGATTTTTCTTTTTATTTTTCATGTCTGTTTTATGGTTCATGTTCGGATTCGGGATTATCCTTTACGACAATATTATCTTTAAGGTTCGAATTAGAATTTTACATAAGGAGTTCTTTTATCTTACCACTGCACTCTTATATTGGCATAATGTTAAAAATAGATAGAATACCAGTGATTATATAAAAAAATAGTAGAGACTTGTATTTTTTTTGGCATATCTTAAGGTGTAATTATTGATACTTTGTAGAACCATATTTCTCATTAATAAATTTCAAGTTTTATTGAAAAAAAAGTCCTATTTAAAGCAAATGATATTAATATTAAGTATAATAGCAAATTATTTATGGTTTTAGTTCTAACAATAAGTTTAAGAGAAAATGAAAAAGTACAATAAAACATTGAGTGAATTTAAGTATTGATATTAAGAAGATATACATAACTTATATTGTGAACTTCTCATGAATGGTCTGCGAAAGACTAACAAAATCGGCTATTTGGCGTTTCACCGAATAAAATGGCTAAACATAAACTATCAAATGTTGTTTTTTAAGGAATGTAATTAGAATTAGGAATTAAATTTATTTATTTAAATGAATTTTAGCTTCACCGGAGCCTGAAGCAATGGCGCACCATGTCCACCAACACTAGCATGACCACTACCAGAAGCACTAGCACTGCCACCTCCACCAACATGAGCATGACCACTTCCAGAGGCACTAGCGCCACCACCTCCACCAGCATGAGCATGGCTACTTCCAGAAGCACTAGCACCGCCACCTCCACCACATTAGCATGACCACTTCCAGACGCACTAGCACCGCCGCTTCCAGCAACATTAGTTTGGCCACTTCCAGAAGCATTGGCTCCGCCGCTTCCACCACTTTAGCTTCACCTTTACCGGAAGCACTGGCACCGCCACTTTGACCAACATTAGCATGACCACTTCCAGAAGCACTAGCGCCACCACTTCCACCAGCATTAGCTTGACCATTCCAGAAGCACTAGCACCGCCATTTCCACCAACATTAACTTCACCCTTGCCGGAAGCACTAGCACCTCCACCTCTACCAACATTAGCTTCACCCTTACCGGAAGCACTAGCGCCGCCACTTCGACAATATTAGCTTCACCACTAGAAGCACTGGCACCACCATTTCCATCACTTTTAGCTTCACCTTTTCCTGAAGCACCAGCGGTGCCACTTCCAACAACATTAGCTTGACCACTTCCAGAAGCACTAACGCCACCACTTCACCAATATTAGCTTCTCCCTTTCCAGAAGCACTAGCACCCCTACTTCCACCTACATTAGCTTCACCCTTTCCAGAAGCACTAGTGCCACCACTACCACTTACATTAGCTTCACCCTTGCCTGAAGCACTAGCGCCGCCACTTCCACCAACATTAGCTTCACCCTTGCCGGAAACACTAGCGCTGCCACTTCCACCAACATTAGCTTCACCCTTACCGGAAACGCTAGCGCCGCCACTTCCACCAATATTAGCTTCACCTTTCCGAGAGCACTAGCGCCACCACTTCCACCAACATTAGCTTGACCACTACCGGAAGCACTAGCACCGCCACTTCCACCAACATTAGCTTGACCACTGCCAGAAGCATTGGAGCCAACCTTTCCATCACTTTTAGCTTCACCTTTTCCATAAGCACTAGCACTTCCACTTCCACAACATTAGCTTGACCACTTCCAGAAGCACTAGTGCCACCACTTCCACCAACATTAGCTTGACCACTGCCGGAAGCACTAGCGCCGCCACTTCCACCACTTTTAGCTTCACCCTTACCGGAAGCACTAGTACTTATACTTTCACCAACATTAGCTTGAACTCCCAGAAGCACTAGCTCCACCACTTCCTCCAACATTAGCTTGACCGCTGCCGGAAGCACTAGCGCTGCCACTCCACCACTTTTAGTTTCACCTTTACTAAAAGCCCTAGCACTTCCATGTCCACCTACATTTGCATGATCACTACCAAAAGCACTTGCGCACCATGTCCAAACACATTGGCTTGACCAATGCCATAGGCACTAGCTTCACCACTTCCACCACCACTTCCACCAACATTAGCTTCACCACTTCCAAAAGCATTAGCGCCACTATGTCCACCAACATTGGCTTCACCTTTTCCAGTAGCACTAGCACCACCTCTTCTACCAATATTAGCTTGAGCACCAGCACCAGCAGAAGTACTAACACCACCTTGTGCACCAACATTAACTTCGCCGTGATAGTACCACCAGCGCCAACACTTCCTCCACTATATCCACCTACATTTCCTTGTCCACCACCATAATGACCAATCCCTTCTCAGTCCACCTCCCCACCAACTCCTCCACCCCATATCCGCCAAATCCTCCAAATCCAGTTTGGAAGCCAAAATGTATCCACACCCCCCACCCCCACCACCATAACCACCATGATGACCTAATAAAGGTAAAAATGTTAAAGACCTCCTATAACCGTAGTTTTTTATTTCTTCGGACAAATTTGGATTTTGTTTTGAACTTCTTCATTTTCATTGACATTTTGATTATCAGCAATCGTAAGACCATCCATCAAAACAACGAACAAGAGAAAACTGCAACAAAGGAAGTAAAAACATTCATATTACCAAGAATCTTAAGCAAAAAAAACTCCTTATTTTTGTGTGTTTTATTTCGTGTTGGTTAACTTATCAAGAATGAAGTTTATATAGGGAGAGTATGAGTTCACATTGAAGACAAATCAAGGGCGAAGCTTAAAGCATGGCAGTAGACCTTTTCAACTGCATTACTCTCTTTCTTTTCTTAACTAACAATCGGGGAAAACAGTAACATTTTGTTCAATCAAAATTGAATTTGATTTAGGGTAAACTATGTATTAGTAATTAAACTATCAATTTTTTGTCCGTTTTAATATCCCAACTTTCAATTTTTTCATAATCCCACCTAACATTTAGTTTTTATTTCGTTTAGTACCCCAAATTAAAAACTTAACGTGATTAGTATATAAACTACTAGTTTGTTATGTTTTAGTACTTAAACTTTCATTTTTTTTTAAACTTAACATTAAAATATGAACGGTGGTACTAAAATGAAACAAAAAAACTTTAGATATAGTTTTGAAAAAATTAAAAAATTAGCTACTAAAACAAACCAAACTGATAGTTTAGGAACTAAACACATAATTTACCCTTGATTTATCATGGTCTCTTTTGCACGTCAAAACAAGATCAGGTCAATTACAGCAATCTTATGCCACAAGCACATGCTTAACAAATCTGTATACTTATTTTATTGCATTTATCTGTTTTGATTTGATCCAAGATCTCTCAAATGTTACAGAATGGGTATTAAGCTTCGTAAACTATTACAAAATAGGACCACGAACGCTTCTTCTTTTTTTAATACAAGAGAAATAAACCATAGCTAACCGATTTACGCAAGTGCTGTAGCTTGGTGCAAGGAGCTATCAGCTTGCAAAACAGTAGAGCATTCTTCAGGTGGATCGTGGATGATGGCAAAGCTTGAAAGTAACGGCCAAGCCAATGAGCTAATGCATCCGCGACTCGAGTACATTCTCTGGTATATGGCGAAACGAAACACACCAATCTCTATCGAGAGCAACCTTATATGCGTCACATCTAGCACCATCAGTGTTCAATTTATAATACCCATGAGTAGGAGGCTTCCATCTAGCACTTTTGATTACCCGAGCCAGTAACCTTGAGGATGATTTTCCTTTTCAACACGAGCCCTGGTTGCCATTATATGCAATCGTGCACTTTCATGGATCACACATTCCATGGGGCGGATTCAGCGTCCAAAACAAGCGTATTCCTCCTTCTCCACAAGCACAAGGATGGAACCAAAGTGTAAGCTCCAATCAGTGACGACCACTGGAAAATAATTGAGGGAACACAGGTTTTTCTCAATCCAAGGCAGCATCTCTAAGCGATGAAACTCGTCGAGCAGCTCCGATTTAATCAACGCCCTCCAGGTTGATCGAGCGATCACACACAGACATGGACTCAACAGCTGCCCCGCAAACTGCACAAGTCGGGATGAGCCATGTGACAACGCACTCGTTCCTCATTCGATAAAAGCTTGTTCCTGCAATAAGCCACAACAACGACTTGATCCGCGGTAGACCTCTATACTTCGAAAAGTGTCTTAAAATGGGACGGTTATCAGGACCTGAATGTGAGTATCTACGGTTATAAGCACTTCTGGTGGAGAACGGCATTGTTTATCCCACTTCCTCCTGGGGTGCCAGGGCCACCATCAGGAAGTGGTGGTTTAGTAGCCGAGAAACAAAGCAGGACCGAAGGTGGGAAGAAATCGCGAAAGAGAGCCCAATTCCACTCACCAGACGAATCAACCATGGTACCCACCTTCGCCTGTTGAACATTAGATACCTCAATAGAGACAATATAATCCGAAAGGGACCTAACTCACCAACCAAGAATCACGCCAAAAGCCCACCGTAAGCCCATCACCCAAGGACCAAACCATACCACCATGAACATCTTCCCAAGGTGTGCTAACACCAGCCCATAACAAGAACAATCATTCTTGGAAATTGTCTCAAGAATAATCTCACAAATTTTCTACTTGTCACGTAAGAGTACTCTAACCCAAAGTGATCTCTTTGTGACACAAAACGAAGAGCTATCTTCATTAGAAACGCATCATTTGAGGTTGAATTCGTTTAACGCCCAACCCACCTTCGAATTATACAAGTTTGAGGACTATTTTATAATAGTTCGATAACTTTCAAGCATCTTATAACAATATGATAAATTCCAATGATAATTTTGTAATCATTTAAGAAGTTTAATGATTATTATTTAACATTTAAAAAGTCATTGATGAAAAATATTATTAGAGATAATATTTCTAATAATAATATTTCTAATATTTAACAATATTGGTTTGTTTTGAATTACTAAGACAATTAAAAAAATGATAAGTGATTAGAAATATTAATCCCAAAAATAAATATTCATGCTAATTTATTGATTAGCATGTTAAGACTTTTAAAGTTATGTGTAAATAACCAAGCGATTTCGATGGTTAAGTGATTTATTATCTTTTCTTGAGATTTCAAATTCGAGCATTATATATGCTAGAGGTATGGGCGTTGATTGTCAAATAATTGAAAGTTTGTCTTTAAACAGATACTGCCTTGTATACACCCCAAATTTGTCAAATAATTGAAAGTTTGTCTTCCACCGACATTAGCTTTACCACTGCCAAAAGCACTAATACCACCACCTCCACTAACATTAGCAGTTCCATTACCAACAGCACTAGCACCGCCATTTCCACCTGTTTTGGCTTCACCCTTATCTGTAGCACTAGCACCACCAATTCCACCAATATTAGCTTCTCCCTTTCCAAAAGCACTAGCACCACCACTTCCACTTACATTAGTTTCTCCATTTTCGGAAGCACTAGCACCACCACTTCCACCTACATTGGCTTGACCACTGCCATAAGCATTAGAATAGCCATTTCCACTAACATTAGTTTAGCCACTTTCGAAGCATTAGCACCTCCACTTCCACAAATATTAACTTGACCACTCCAGAAGAACTAGCACCACCACTTCCTAGCTTGACCACTACCGATAGCACTAGCACTGCCACTTCCACCTACATTAGCTTCACCCTTTCTGGAAACACTAGTGCCGCCACTGCCACCAACATTAGCTTCACCCTTGCCAGAAGCACTTGCACTGCTACTTCCACCAACATTAGCTTGACCACTTCCAGAACCACCAGCACCCCTACTTCTACCAACATTATCTTGATCACTTCCATAAGCACTAATGACACCACTTCCACCAATATTAGCTTGACCCTTACTGGAAGCACTGGAGCCACCACTTTTAGTTTCCCCTTTTCCAGAAGCACTAGCGCCACCACTTCCACCAACATTAACTTGACCATTTCCAGAAGCATTGGCATCACCACTTCAACCAATTAGCTTGACCACTGCCTGAAGAACTAGCACTGCCACTTCCACCACTTTTAGCTTTACCCTTGCTATAAGCACTAGTACCGTCACTTCCACCAATACTAGTTTGACCACTTCCGGAAGCACTGGTACCACCACTTCCACCACTTTTACCTTCACCTTGCCAGAAGCACTTGCGTTGCCACTTCCAGCAACAATAGCATGGCCACTTCCAGAAGCACTAGCACCGCCACTAACACCAACATTAGCTTGACCATTTCGGAAGCACTGGCACCACTAGTTCCACCCACTTTTACTTCACCCTTGCCAGAAGCACTTGCTTTGTCACTTCCACCAACATTAGCTTAACCACTTCTAGAATCACTAGCATCACCACTTCCACATACATTAGTTTCACCCTTGCCGGAAGTACTAGCACCACCACTTCCACAAACATTAGATTCCCCCTTTCCAGAAGCACTAGTGATGCCAATTCCACCAATATTAGCTTCACCCTTTTCCGAATGCACTAGCGTCGTCACTTCTACCAACATTAGCTTGACCACTACTGGAAGCACTGGCCCCACTACTTTTCAAAACTTTGTTCTTTACAATCTACTAAAATCTTAATTTCCTCATTTGAGAAAATAATTACTTTATAGTAATTAATACTATCAAATTGTTTTACAACCATTCAGAGCATATTCAACTCAATCAATTAGTACATGCCAACTATATTCAAAATAACCAAATACATTTAAATCATCTATTTTCTGATATGAAACTTTGTAAGGGAGATGCTGACCTCTTGCTCTTCTTCGCTTCTCTTCTCGCTTCTGTAACCTACGTGTGAAACAATCAAATGCTAAGTCTATGACTTAGTAAGGCAGTACATTTATAAAAGAACTAATTATTTAAACATGCAAGAACACATCATCTTATGATGTCATACCAAAACAATATAACATTACATACAATGTATATACACATATACATATCTCACACTATTTCCATTACTAACCTTATTCCACTATCCATATTCTTATCATTTATGTCTTATAATCATATACTCGTATGTCTATATGATTCATTTAACCAAACAATAGACACATCATCATATAATCATATAATGCAATCCATATTACAAAAGCATATACTTTACATGTAATATATATTTATCGTTATCTCTTTGTTAGCCCATGTACATATGTGAGAATTATAGATATTTGAGTATATTGAGGTTGTGCACTATGTTGTCACCACAACTCGTATAATTCCCTCTAGGGGCACGTAGAATTTGTCCTGTAGGACCACTATGTCCGAAGAACCATTGTATATGTCCCGAAGGACCACTGTATAATCCCTCGACTTTTTGCATGCCAACTATACCTCTAGCTCTCTTCACATAACATGGGCATTAACATTATATCATTTCACATATTCATATAAACACGTAGTTCATTGTCACATATCACATAGCTTATGTCGCATAACTTGTATCACATATACACATTCATATCACATGTTCATATAAGCTTATAACTACTTTTCACGTTTACATATAATCATGTAGCTTCTTTTCACGTAGTTCATGTCACTTTGCATATCATTCATTTATCACATATAACATGGCTTAACATATGTTGTATTCTTTTTCACCTAATCACATCTACCTCTTCTCATATCTCATACATAATCTCTATCATATATACATACATTCACTTATCTTATAGTTATGTATCATATTACATAATTTAACTTATATCATATTATCATGTGTACATATATCATGGACACTTAGCATGTATCATATAAACATGTATTCACACATATCATTAACACATGCAACAATCAATAACACATGTAACATATCTAACATATGCTCATATTAATGAATTCATTCATTTTACTATAGGAAATAGACTTGTCACAAGTCTTATTTCCATTAAATATAATACACTATCTAATATGCACTCACCTTGGCCTCACTAAGTTCCAATCCCATTTTATGATTCATTTCTTTCGATCGAATCTTAACTTGATGGTCGTCCCGGAACTTGTTCGTGCTCGAAATCTATATAATCATAATTTCCAAGACGATTATTAGAAGCATAAACCTTATAATTCGATGCTAATAATTTAAACTAATTCATTGAACTATAATTCACTTTTTCCTTTAAGGGTGTATCGATGCACTATGGGTGCATCGATGCACAAAGTAGCTTAGAAATTTCCATGCATCGATGTCTTCCTGTGTGTATCGATGTACACTGAATAATTTCTGGAATTTACCCTTGATGCATCGGTACATGTTGAATGTGTACCGATGCACACAAGCCCATAATTCCAATTTATGCACGAAAATCACTTTATTGTAACTTAATTGTGCCATATTTCAACCCTATTCAAATGCTTAACTTACATACACATGTTGAGCCTCATTAATATTCATTTATCTCATCTTTAACCTCAATATCTTCTTCTCCTTATGAAATTCAAGAATTGTACTCAATTTTCAACATGTTCTAAATCCACTTCTAACACTTCATATTCCTTAATTTAATCATTAACAAGTCAAATTCAACTTCAAAATCTATTAACTCCTTTTATTTCAATAATTCACTTAAAAACTCTTCATATTTAATCCTCCCTAACTCATCCATTTTGAAGTTTCAACATACTTTAATCTCTAAATAATCTTTCTTAGCACCCAAGAATCAAAACTAAGCTTAAACTCAAGAATTAACCAACTAAAATTAAATTTACCTTTGCCATGGAGCTTACGGGAAGAGAAGAGGAATGAGATAACCCGAGCTCCAGACTTTCTTTTCTTTCTCATCCTTTTCACGTGTTTTATAGCCTCAAATAAAGATAAAAAATCTTTCTAGTCAAATGACCATTTTACCCTTTATTTCCTTTAATAATTACCAACTAACATCCACTAAATATTCCCATTTAAATCCCTAAACTTTTAAATCTTTCAGAATCAGACTTCAAAGTTTTAAAATTTCTATTTTAGTCACTAGCCCCGATTTTGGGATATTACAAGCTTCACCCTTTTTGAATGCACTAGCGTCTCCATTTCTACCAACATTATCTTGACCACTACTGGAAGCACTGGCCCCACTACTTTCTCCACTTTTAGCTTCACCCTTCCCGGAAGCACTAATTCCACCACTTCCACCAACATTAGCTTGACCACTTCCGGAAGTACTAGCGCCACTACTTCCTCACTTTTAGCTTCACTTTTCCTAGAAGCAATAGCGACACCACTTCAACCAACGTTAGCTTGACCACTACCAGAAGCACTAGCAGTACCACTTCCACCAACCTTAGCTTGACCACTGCCAGAAAAACTGGCGTTGCCATTTCTAGAGACACTAGCTCTGCCACTTCCTCCACTTTAGCTTCACCTTTATCGGATGCACTAGCGTCGCCACTTCCACCAACATTAGCTTAATCACTCCCAGAAACACTAGCGCCACCATGTCCACTAATATTAGTTTGACCATTTCCTGAAGCATTTGCACCACCACTTCCACCAGCATTAGCTTGACCACTGCCAGAAGCACTGGCACCACCATGTCCACCAATATTAGCTTTGCCACTACCAGAAGCAACGATACCACTATATCCACCAACAATAGCTTGGCCACTACCAGAATCACTAGCTCCACCTCTTCTACCAACATTAGCCTGAGCAGCAGCACTAGCAGAGGCACTAACACCACCATGTCCGCCAATATTATCTTCACTTTGGCTAGCGGCACCAACTTTAAAGAGCTTTATTTTTGCAACTTTATTATCGGACGTAAATTAGTACTTACAAAAAAGTAATAAATAATAGGAAAAATGTTCATCGGAATAATCATAATTAAAAAAAAATATCTCCTCATGAGCTATACGAGCAAAGCTCTTCGATTCAGCTGTGTGAGTAAACTTTTGTTGTTGTCTCCTAACAATACCAATATGCCTTTGGTCCTACAATTTGAAATTTACGTGAACTATAAAGTCAAAATTATAGTGACATATCAATGGGCAATACCAATGTTCATCATACCTCTCCTTTCTTTAAAATCCAAAACATGAATGCATCTTCCCATTGATATATGAGTATTCCAGGTGGGACATTTTGCAGCTTTTGTTCTAAACTGAGACTATGCTTAAAATAATCTTTTTTTCAAAGAACTCTTGTGGTATCTCCATTTCTTTCCTAACGCTTGCTTTAAATAATCATTTGAGACCCCTAGAGAAAATTTATCCTACAAATAACACAAATGTCAAAAGTAAATATAAAATTTTATTGAATTGTAATGAATTATCTATTATAATGAAATTATTACCTTAATACAATCCACAATCTGGTTTTTGTTATTATTCAACATCTCACGCCACGACTCAAAATTGATCGATAGAATATTAGCATTGCGTGCAATCACACCTAAGTAACCAGCCTGAATATGTGATTCTGTCCCAATAGGTTGACTGACATCGTTACTTGAAACTTTCACACGGTCCCCAAGTGAAAGTTTGTATAATTCCTTTATTATCGTAAGACATCTAGTCTTGCATCTTTGACCATTTTCAACTACATAAGGAATAATTCAGTGTAAATTTTCAAAATCAAGTCAATAAAAAATCAATCACCATTTAAATAAAATATTGAACATTGCCTTTAATTTCTACAATTTCTTCAACTATATTCGGAACTTATAAAGATCCACCACCAATCGATTCTTCATTATTGTTTCTTCCTCTTCTTGAGGAACTCGAACAATCCACATATCACTTAATTTTCTCCTAGTCATTATATATGCAATAAAAAATAATAATATTAGTAACTAGTTACACGAATACTATTAATGAATATATTATAAATTAATTAATTAAGATATAAAATCTTACTACATTGTTATATCATATCAATTTTCATAAATATATTCATTCATGCCATCCAAACCTATTAGAATTATGAACTAATACTAGCGATAGTTTCATCTATATTTTGTGGGACAAAAGGTAAAGTTTCTTATCTTGTTTCAATCTCATCTCTAATTCCATCCTCGATGTCTATCAAGGCTCTGAGGGTATTATGGAGTACAACATATCAACCCTCATCCATTTAATCGTGGCAATAAAAAACTTCTTTGAAAACGCCACTAAAAATGTCGTTAAAGATCTATTTTGCTGTAGTGGTTTCATTTTAGTACCTCTGTTCAAAATTTAACGTTAATTTTTGAAAAATGGAAAGTTTAAGTACTAAAACAGTCCAAAATTGATAGTAAAATGCGTTAAGTTTTTAATAATGAGGTACTAAAGTGAAACAAAAATTAAACTTTAGGTCTAATTTTGAATTTTTTTTTGAAAGTTTAGGTACTAAAACAGATCAAAATTGATAGTTTAAGTACTAAATGCGTAGTTTACCCTTTAAATCATAAGGTGAGTTTTGATATTATATTTCTTTAAATTGAACCTTTCTTGTCTAATTGAAATGCATTGGAGAGCTCTTTGCTTAAGAATAAGTAAAACAATATCACGAACCAAATTGTATTAGTGGAAAATGAATTGTTATTATTTCTTGAGAAATCGGGTTCGAACACCATAGATAACATGGGTGTGAGCATTCAATGTCGAATGGTTGAGAGTTATCTTTGAATAGATATTAGCTTGTACTTACCCATATAATAAAATAAAAAAAGCTTAAGTGTCACATTTTTCCCTGTAGTAGAATTAACTTATCATTTTCGTCCCTATCGTATTTTCACATCAATTTAGCCCTCAAAGTTGTTTAATTGCATCACTTTATATCTTACCCCAACTTAAAACCCTAAATTATAAAGTTTAAAGTTGGGTTTATGGTTTAGAGTTATGGAATTATGATTTAGAGTTTAAGATTTATAATTTAGGGCCTAAAAAAGTAAAACAATAAATATTAGGACCAAACAAGAATTAGAAGTTTAATTATTGACATTAATATTAAGAAGATACATAAAAACAACTTCCAAAAACTAACACGCATGCCATGCCGTTTAAAGTTCCACAACATCAAAGTGTGAAACCCTAACAAAATAGACCTCTCTTATCTTTCTAAAGATATTAGGATTTAGTACTTGAGTTTACTTTTTCTGTGCATCAGTCGTCTCCTCCTGCTCCATCTTTCCTTTTCCGTGATAATGGACGTGAACATGCACGTTTGCCTTAGCAGAAGCACTCGCGCCGGCGTTTCCGCCTCCGCCGCCGCCACCACCACCACCGGCAACTTTAGCTTCAGCTGCAGCTTCAGCCTTAGCACGAGCCTGAGCAGAAGCGTCTCCACCTCCACCACCAGCAGCTTTAGCCCCAGCTTCAGCTTCAGCCTTAGCACGAGCCTGAGCAGAAGCACCACCGTCTCCACCTCCACCACCAACATTAGGGTTGCCACCACCACCAGCAGCATTAGGGTTGCCATTTCCACCATTAGGAACACCACCATTACCTTGACCATTACCTCCTATGTGACCTCCAAAAGCAACACCACCACCACCGTTACCGCCGCCCCCACCTTGGGCTTGCATCCGTTGTTGTCTTTCTCTCATGTGTTTTAAACCCACGGCACCGCCGACACCGGCGGCAGTAGCACCGGCGGCAACAACACCAGCACCGATCAATGCAGGCAACAAAAGCGTCAAGGATCTTCTGTTCCCTTTATATTCCATCATCTCTTGTTGATCAGAATCAGATGGACGCTGAAGCAAAGTTTTTCATTTTCATTAACTTCGAGCTCGTCGACAATGGCGAGAACATTCAGAAAAAGAACATACAAGACGACGATCACACCGAAATAACTAGAAAAACCCATGTTTATCTAAAAAGGATTGAATTATACTGACAAATAATCAATCTTTTGGAATTTCTTTATTCCTTTTTATTCTGGTTTTTATAAAAATATATATATCAAAAAGAAGATAAGTATATATAGGCAAAGGTTGGACATATAGTAAATCAGTTGGAGGAGAAGCTTGAGGTAAGGGAGTAAGGGAGTAAGAAGCGGTTTCACCATGCACTTAGAAGAAAGGATACTAAATCTTAACGGTTCATTTAGCGGGTCGGGTTGGGTCATATTTTTCGGCTTAATTATAAATTAAGTATCTAAATCATATTGTTTTTTTCAAATAGGTGTTCAAACTTTTTTGAATCATTCAAGTGTTCAACGTTACAAACGTTATCACTTTAGGTGTCTATATCGTAATTGTCATTAAAGAACACGTGTCACTTTTGGTAATTTTAAAATTTTTATTTACAATTAAAAAATTAAACTATACTTTAAAAAACACACAAAATTTTTGAAATAGTCCCAAAACATTGAAAACCCTCATTTCAACCCCTAAACCCACGTCGACCACTGCCCTTTGCCGTCAACAAAACTCCACCTGACCTCACCTCCCCTGATGATCAATAACCCTATGAAATCACGACCAATGGACGACCAATCGATGTTTTTACCTCGCGAATCCTACGGTGAAAATCGACTACTAATCGGTGATAACTATGGCAACTTATGACTAGAAATATTGCATGGACTACGTTAACGTCGGTGGTCAGGGTTACATATTTAGGTTTATATGAATTTGGGTTTTTTTTGTAATTTAAGAGAAATTCTGGTTTTTATAACTATAATAATTTATTTTTAAAAAAATTTAAAATTACCAAAACGTGACATCTATCACTTAATAGTGAAAATAACGACAGTTACGGTCCGGACACCTAAAGCGTTAACATTTGTAATATTAGGCACCTGTTTAGAAAAAACGGTATAGTTTAGGCACTTATTTAATAATTATCCCTATTTTTTCTACCAGAATTCGAGCCAAAAATTAAATCCTTCGACTTACACCCAATCCAACTTTTAGGTCAAAACTCGTACTCGACCTAATTCGACTCAGTCTAAATATATATAATTCATTTTTATTAGGTAAAATAAGAATCTAATTGATAAAATAATATAGAAAGAAATATTATTGCAATTATCCCTATGTACATAAAAAATAATTATGCTATTAAGTCTGATCAGGTAAGATTTTTCACCCTAAACTCAAATTTTATTTTAAAAGTTTTGACCTGATCGAATCGAGTTCGGGTTAATGCCCTTCCCCTAACTAGAACTTACCTAGTTACTAAAGTAATTTAAATCATATCTTTTCCCATATATAGAGCTCAACTTTATTTTATATTTTTTCTGTGTATTTGGAGGATCGTATTAAGAAGTTCGAATCGATTCGATATAGATCCGACTTTTTCATTTTGATCATAAAAGCGAGTCAGATGATCCTAGCTAGAGCGAGTTAAGAACTCTTGTATATCTCCAATTCAATGAAGGCAACAACATTTACTGATAGGGTCAAGCCCCTTCAAAGAGGAACTAATTCATGAAAATTGTATAAAAGATCTCCATTAGCATACTCTGCTGCAATTAGTACAACAATGTTGCTTGATTATTTACAATTAATCAGCCAAATTTGCAGACAGATTTGTGAAAGCTGCTAGATTTGCTTTAAATGTTAAGGGCTGGCATGAAAAATTATAGGTTAAACTACGCATTTAGTACCTAAAATTTCAATTTTTTAAAAAACATACCTAATAGTTTTTATTTCATTTTAATGGCCACTATTAAAAATTTAACACGTTTAGTACCTAAACTATCAGTTTTGTTCTATTTTAGTATCTAAACTTCCAATTTTTTCAAAACGTAACGTTGAATTTTGAACTGGAATACTAAAATGAAACAAAAACTAAACTTTAGATATAATTTTGAAAAAAAAAACAGAAATTTTAGGTATTGAAAAAATAGGTACTAAACACGTAATTTACCCAAACTGATAATTGCTGCTTCGTAGTAGAGCCCACAAGAGCCTTCATTGCTCAATCAATGTCTTTAAATAGGGGCAAGGACCTCTCTAAAACTAGGGCAAATTGGGTCAATTATTGCAAAACATGTGCATGTGTAAGTGGCCCCTTTGGCAAGTGAATCTAGTGACCAAATGAGTTCAAAATCATACAAAATAACCACGAAAATTTTCCCAGAAAATTTCTAGTTTTGCATATCCTTGTATGACCCCAAACAGACGAAACGACTCAGCATAAATACTCAAACGACCTCACGGTCGGCGGTCATCGATCCTACAAACTATTATGGCCAATAGCTCTACCGAGTAACTCGTATTACATCGTTCGATGGGAACGAACAATACCGATACTGGAAATAAAACGGTGCCAACTCCGTCAGCAACTGTATGTAGCCACAAGTAGTCACAAGTAAATGATGTAAATCAGTAATCCAAAGATAGTAACATCCCACAAAATGCCTTTTTTCCACCCCCCACAATCAAATTTCCCCATGACAGAAGGGAATATCCAAACTTCTTAAGAGCATGGCTCCAAGTATCTATTTCCCTATTCGTGTTTTCTCCATTAACGGAAACACGATTTCGACGGATAATTGAAACATTATTTTCTTTGGAAACCCAGAACTTGTTTTAACGACTGGATCATAGCCTGACTTCAATGAGTCTGGCTCTTACCTTTCTTTGACTTGCTCTTCCCTTGCATCTTTTTCTTCTTTGCTTCAGCTGTAATCCAAGTGTAATCTGGAGGTATTGCAAATGGATCTTGAAGATTTTCCGGCTTGTTGTCGCCATTATTGGACGAACTAGGGCGTTGATAAGGCGTCTTTATCCACTGAAACCAAGATGACCCTGAGGCCTGTGTCACTGCAGGGCTTTCTTGGGGAGCTGAAGGGCTTGAAGGGGGTGTCAAGAACTCGTCCAAAGGCTGTAGTTCTTCAAACTTCGTGAAAGTAACCAACACTCTGATTGTCGGAACCACCGGAATAGCAACCTAAGTACAACCATGAGAACTCATTCAAATCAAAATCTTTGAGGAATCACAAAACCGAGGAATGTGTAGGGTATACTGGCACCATTTATGTGTAAGAATGAAACTAACTCCATTCATCTAGCAAGTCTATGCATCGATAGATGGAAGGAAAGGATCGGATCATATACCGGACTAAAATATACGAAAATCATATTCTTAAAAGACTACATAAGTATCCACTTATCCTGAAAATATGCTAAAAGCTCTAATGTAATGGATCAATAAAATAATGGGTAAACAAACCTCAAAGTACATGCCAAAATCATCAACAGGATAATAACACGAGCATATAATGTCATCCAACAGAAAAATATTATGCATCATACGCCCCGTTAATATCAGTCCACAAGTACGGAAGTCATTATTGAAGAGGTCATATAACAGATAATAACAGGGCCCAATCAGACAGTCGAGAGAACAACAAACCTTGACCGGGAAGGTTCCAGCAGGAAGCTTTGTCGTGAGCAGTTCTCTCAACCGACGAATTGCCTTGACCTTGTTGGCAAGAATGTCTAGCAATGGCAAGAGTTCTTCAGTTTGCAGTGGGAAGTCCGGAGAAAGCCAAAGAATAGGCCTCAATCCTTTCTTATACTCGTTCTCCCGGCCACTATCTTTATGCCGACCACCAGTCTCGGAACTCGTGGAAGAAGAAATTCTCGAATCTCTTATCCTCCGATGATCATCGGTTGCCGAAATCTCCAAAGAATGTCTACCAGCCTTTATCTGACTCCCCGAAGGAGAGTCTCCGAGTAAGTCACTCACCTTTTCATCTACACAGAATGAACTTCTAGGCGGCGCAATCTTCCTCTGCTCTTCATGCTTTGGCTCCTTTTTTCTCCATCCACCGAACCATCCTTTCTTTTCCTGCTTAGTCTCTCCATTTTTAAAACCATTGGTTTCCTCGATAGGAATTTCCCGGGATTCAAACAACTATGGCGACGCCCAATAAAGCCATCATCATTCTCGCTGGATATTTCGGAAGAATCCAATTTAAGAGCAACTTCAAGTTGTTTCCTTTCATCTTCAGTCAAGATCTCGTCAAGCTCTTCATTCTCTGTTTCATTTCCATTGGAAGTTGCAACAAATTCGTCATCTGTCATGGCCCCAGGCACTCTCCTTGATTTTATGCTAACAACAACGTTGTGCATATCATACACCTTAGCCTTCCAGGCACCCACCATTTCTGTTTTCTCTTGTCGCCTCCAAGTCAGCTGCGGCAAAAGAACTGCCTGTGTTACATCTATCCCGGGCCTGAATATATTAGTCTGGGACATTGCAACCACTTCTTGTCGAACCTCTTCATCAGTTGCTTGAGAACCAGCACCATCCAAAGCGTTCATCGCCTCTTTATCCTTATGAGAGATCATACAAAGCGATCCAGGAGGAACCTTACCATCCTCGGAACCATCGCCAAGGAAAAGAATACTCTGATCCGAACGTTGAATTCTGAATCCATCAAATCCGGCCAAAGTCATATCAGCCCTCAAATTTGCACCCCTCTTCCAAATTTTATACGTATCAGAAGGAGCGATTCGTGAAATGAAAGGTATCACTGAACTATCAAAATGGAATGTGATTTCCATGTAAAAGTCTCTCATCCTTCGCATAGTTCCCACCAAACGAGGCAACCTTCTACACCATTTTGCCCACGCCAATGGCTGGTAGTGCCGAACAATAGTCATCGCAATAGCCTCTTCCCTATTACAAATCGCTTCTTGAAGTGCACTCCATCCCTGTTCATTTTGCAAGCTCCAGTCGGCTCCTGCAGCCATAAGCATTTTAGTCGCAGCTTCATCACCGAGTTTAACAGCCAAGTGAAGAGGGGTATCTCGGTTAGGAACATCGCGCCTATCTATCACAGATGCGATCTCTTCAGCCTTCGCTTCCTCAGCCAACGAGGCTGCTTCCGTTTGAATCTCGTCCGCATCACCAAGCTGTGGGAGGGCCTCGAGTATCCTCCTGAGACTCTCGTAATCCCTCGTCGCAACAGCTTTGTGCACAGGGCTATGTGCATACCTAGAAACATCGATACTGGCCATGCCTCACGGATCCAAATATGCTATCAACCCCAAGTCTAATTCTCCTAACAAAAGCACAATTCAATCATTCAGCATCAAAATACTCGATTTCGACTTAAAATCCCAACAAACCAACAAATTCAAACAAATGCTATCAAACCCCCAAAAGTGTTACAACACTCAATTTCATCCCTACAAACCAACAAATTCAAACAAATGCTATCAAACCCCAAAAGTACTACAACAACACTCAATTTCATCCCTAAAAGCCAACTAATTCAAGCAAATCCAGCAACAACACAGACACAAAAGTAGATTATTTATCCCTACAAATACAAATAAATGCTATCAAACCCCCAAAAGTATTACAACAATCAAGTTCATCCCTAGAAACCAACAAATTCAAGCAAATGAGAAATTAAGAAGAAACAAAAACAATTCATAAACAAATGTGATATTGGCTAAACCCCAATCAAACATAAGTAAAAACCCGCCCACATGGAAATGCAATATTACAGTAACCTGTAACTATCATAAACTCATGCCATAAACAAGAAGGGGAAACAACAAAATAACCTTTAGTGGACCCAAAATAGAGATAAAAAAGATATGAACTTTAGGGGCAAAAAAAAAAGGGTCTCACCTGGTTCTTTATCTCTTCATTTCTTTCTAAGAAAACAAAGATTGCTCCCAAAACGAAAAGGGAAAATTTTTCAAGAAACAAAACCCCACCAAAGAGAGATCCTGTTTTTCCCTGTTTCTCTCTGCACACTTCTTTAAAGTAGGAAAAATAACAACTTCGCGATCCAATCCAGATCAGACAAACTGAAGAACATGCATGTGGGTGTGTGAAACAAAATTAAAAAATAGTTATACCATAAAAAAAAATCAGGTGGGGAATATGGTAAAGAAGTTAAAAAAAACAAAATGATAGGACTATAATCGAAGAAAAGAATTTCTATCCAAGAAAGTAAACAAAACCCCACCTTTCAAGAAAACCCAACAAAAGAAAATTGAAAAATATTATAAAAATAATGAAAAGGAGAAGTACCCAAGTTACTCCTTTTTGTACAGAATTGAAGAAGGTTCTTAGAAAGGTATGTTTTTTTTATTTGAAATTGAGAGTGTTGTTACTTGTTAATGTGATTGCAAATAGGGCAGAGTAACTAAATTGAGAAAATTGAAAAATAGACACAAATTGAGTAAAATGGTTCGGCTTGGTTCGGTTTGAATTTACCTTTAAACAGTTTGTTTTCAGGTTGATTTAAAGAATCAATTCTATTGATTCGATTCGGGTTTTACATATAAAACTCACTTGTTACGTATTGAACCGAATAGACTTTTTTTTTTTGAATTTATAGTTTCAAGTGAATTTTTTATTAAAAATCAATAAATCGAACCGAACCAAACCGAAAAAATTAGTTTCACATAATTCAGTTTTTTAACCATTCGGTTTCGGTTTAACTTTTAAAAAATCGTTTATTTTGGTTTGGTTCAATTTTTAGTAAAAAACCGAACCAAATACACCCATAATTGCAAGTTTTAAATTTAAGGGAAAATTATTAGTTTAGTATCTAAACTATCAGTTTTGGCTCATTTTACTATCTAAGCTTTCAATCTTTTCAAAATCATACTTAAAGTTTATTTTTTATTTCATTTTAGTACTTGTTGTTAAAAATTTTAGTTTTTGTTTAATTTTAGTACTTTCGTTCAAAATTTAACATTAAGTTTTGAAAAAGAAAATGGAAGTTTAGGTACTAAAACGGGCCAAATTTGATAGTTTAAGTACTAAACGTATTAATTTTTTAACGGCGGATACTAAAATGAAATGAAAACTAAATGTTGAGTATGATTTTGAAAAAATTGAAAGTTTAGGTACTAAAATAAACCAAAACGGATAGTTTAAGTACTAAATATATAATTTATCCTAAATTTAATTACAATAGAGAAGGAAAAGAAAAGGATTCATTTCTTTTGTTTTTAATATGAAATTGAGTAATCAAAAAAATTATTTTGAAATTGAGAGGGTTGTTACTTGTTCATGTGATTGCAAGTTTTAAATTTAAGGGTAAATTATGTATTTACTATTTAAATTATTAGTTTTCATCTATTTTAGTATCTAAATTTTTAATTTTTTTAAAATCATACTTAACGTTTAGTTTTTGTTTCGTTTTAGTACATCGCCATTAAAAATTGCCCGTGACACTTTTTTTATGAGTTAATTGCATCATTCATCACTCAACTATCTTCTCACTCCTATTTTAGTTACTAAAATTAAAATATTTTAATTTAATTATTTAACTTTCATATGACTCCTAATTCAATCACTCTAACTTTCAATTTTTTTTTATTTTTAAGTGTATTAATAAAATAATAATAAAAATGTCATTTCCCACAAATTATTAATAAATAAAATAGAGTGATTAAAATAGGAATAATTTGAAAGTTGAGTAGTTAAATTGAACTTTAATAACAAAATAAAAGTAAGAAGATAGTTGAATGATGAATGATTCAATCTACCCATAAAAATATGCAGTGTCTTTAAGTTTTTAACAACGAGGTACTAAAATGACACAAAAGCTAAACGTTGGGTATGACTTTGAAATAATTGAAAATTTAGGTACTAAAACGAGTCAAAACTAATAGTCTAGATACTAAAAACATAATTTACCCTAAATTTAATTAAAGAGAAGGAAAAAAAGGAAAGGATTCATTTGTTTTGTTTTTATATTTAGGGTAACATATAAAAGTAGTCACCACACTTTTATGGGATTTTCATTTCGGTCACTAATCTTTTAAAACTTATTTAAAGTTACTAAAGTTTTAATTTACTTCTGTTACGGTCATTATAATCAATTATCGTTAAAAAAATACTGGTGTGAATATGACTCATCAAAGTGATTTTCCATAAAATCTTAATTTTTTAAGATTATTTTGTAATCATTGATCTTAATTTTTACTTACTTTTTTTAGCTCTAAGGTATAAAAGGCAATCCTACTTAACGTTTAATTTATGACTTTTAGTTTTTATTACTTTTAAACACTTTAACCCTATATATTTTATTTTCGATCAAAATGGTCACGGATTGAAAAAAAATCTTTATTTGATTAACGATCAATACATGTCGCTAACATGAAAAGTTTTGTGTCCAAAGTGATGATACGACAAATGTCGTGTGTACATAAGTGATGATGTGGCACATGCCACGTGTTTAAAATGATTACGTGGAACAAATCATAAGTTCAAAGTGATGGTGTGACACATGTCGTATGGTTAATATGATGATGTAACACATATCATGTGTACTCAAATGATTACGTGGCATATCCCAAAATGAATTATTGGGCTAAAATTCTTTTTAAAAAATATGGGATATATATAGAACAAGATTCAATTACATCTAGTGTAAAACTAAAATCACCTTTTTATAATCGTTGGATGAGGTAAATCAAAGGTTGAGATTAAAAGTAGAAAATGTGAAGATATTCACTGCGGAAAAAAACAAAGAGTTAATCTCAGCCTTTGATTTTTCTTTTCCAACAATCACAAAAAGGTGTAAAACTAAAAAAATTATACTAGTTGTAAGTGGATTTTAACCCCCCTCTCTCTCTCTATATATATATATATGAATTTGAATTTAGTTTTAAGTTTTAATTTAGTACAAAAACTTTTATATAATGAAGTACTCGGAACTTTTAGGGTAAATTACACCATTTCTTATTAAATTACTCTCTCTCTTTTTTTTTTCATCATACTTTCAATTTTTTTAATTTACTCGATGAACTTTCAAATTGCTTATATTTTGATAATTTTGAATTATTTTATTATATTTCGGTGTGACATGACATATTATTATTATTATTTAATATAAAATAATTAAAAATATAAAATAAAACAGGAGGTGGTCGGACGCCACCTCCGGCCACCGCCAGCCGTCGTAGATGGTGATCGTTCGTTCTCAAATTTCATGAGTCGATTCGTCTCAACCTTTGAGTCCGAATTTAGTGGTTGTTTCACCAGCAAATGTCCCAAAAATTGTGAATATCGACTGAAATGTTTTGGATTCCTTACTTTCAATCTCCAATTCTTGAACTTCATAGCAAGTTCTGAAAAAATGGAGGTTGGATTCAGACTCATGGTGTCGAGGCGAAACTACCCATAAAATCTGGGATCAAACGGTCACCATCTACGACAGTCGACGGTGGTGTCCGACCACCTTCTATTTTTATTTTATATTTTAACTTATTTTACATTAAATAATAATAGAAATGCTATGTCATCATACGAAAATAAAAAAAATAACTTAGAGTAATCAAAACATGAGTAATTCAAAAGTTCAGTGAGTAAATTAAAAAAATTAAAAGTACGATAAATAAAATAAGAGAGATAATATAGTTTAATGAGGAACGGTATAGTTTACCCTATTTTTTATCTTAATTTTTTTAGAAGTTTTGATATTTGAAAAATGAATTTGGGTAATAATATAAGTTCATTTATGTCGAGCATTCAATGTTTGATCGACCCGTTTTCTAAATTTATTATATATTAAATTGAATGAAATATATGACACATAAAAATTAATTTTTATTATTATACAGTATTATAAAATAAACACTACAAATGTTGTTCATATTTTTAGAAAATATTTTAAAAAATAAAAAGTATATAAAATTATTAGATATCATTAAATTAAAATAGTATATATGTTTAAAATTTTAGAATAATCAGCAGAGTTAAAATGAATTAGTGTTAAATATTTTACAAATATAAGTTTATTCTTTTAAGTAATATTATAGATTTAAATTTTAATATTACGAGAGATCGATAAAATACTCTTTCAATAAATTATTGTAATATTTTATTTAAATTATTTAATAAATAAATTAAATATACAGTTGTTATACAGAAAATAATAAATAAATCTAGATAGATTTTTCTTCTAAATTTGAAATTTATTATTACCATAAATATAAGTCTGGTACATAAATTCCACATCAATTTAGCACAACAAAGAGAGAGTTTATAGATTACCCATGCAAGCCAACGAGTTCCTGAAACCCAGTTTATGCAGCGATGCTATGGAGCACGACGGTCTCGACGGTGAGGCCCGGTCCGAACCCGAACAATACCCCCCACTCGAGCCCTTCGCCCGAGGTTCCTAGTCCGTCTTCTTTCGATTTTCTCCTCATCTCGTCTAGTATGAAGAGCACACAAGCGCTCGACATGTTCCCGTATTCCGAAAGAACATGTCGAGTGGCTCGTAGCTTTTCGCGCTTGAGGCATAGCTTTGCTTCGACTTGGTCCAATATGGCTGGACCACCGGGGTGCGCTATCCAAAAGAGAGAGTTCCAATCCGATATGCCCAAAGGCTTAAATGCTTCATCAAGGCTCTTCTCAATGTTGTTTGAAATTAGGCCCGGAACATCCTTGAGGAGGTGAAACGTAAGCCCAACTTCACGAAGGTGACCGTCAATCGCACCGTCGCTATCCGGCAATATCGTTTGGGCCGCAGACACGAGTTCGAACATGGGCTTCTCGATCTCGGGTATCGGGTCGGCACCGATTATAACGGCAGCAGCACCGTCGCCGAACAACGCCTGGCCCACGAGACTATCCAAGTGAGTGTCACTCGGCCCGCGGAAAGTGACCGCGGTGATCTCCGAGCAAACAACGAGGACGCGAGCGCCCTTGTTGTTCTCGGCCAGATCCTTAGCCACGCGGAGCACGGTGCCGCCCGCGAAGCAACCCTGTTGGTACATCATGAGACGCTTAACGGAAGGACGGAGACCCAGAAGCTTGGTGAGCTGGTAGTCGGCTCCGGGCATGTCGACGCCACTGGTGGTGCAGAACACGAGGTGGGTTATCTTGGACTTGGGCTGGCCCCATTCCTTAATCGCCTTGGTGGCCGCTTCTTTGCCTAGCTTTGGCACCTCAACCACCACCATGTCTTGCCTTGCGTCGAGTGACGGCGCCATGTACTCACACACATTGGGATTCTCTTTCAAAATCTC